CAAATATGGTTTCACTAATAATATATTAAAGGATGCTATTATGAACAATTTGACTCTTTTGCAGAATTATTAAAGTTTTATGTTTATAGATAACAAGCGTTGATTTGCATAAATGACAATTGGAAATCTGATAACTGGAATGGCGTAAAAGTTCCAACCATTAAAGGAAATTTACATCACATCCTTAATAATACATAATCGATCTGATAAATTTTGTGATGGGATGTTATCAGATTTTTATGTGTCATTTAGAAAGGAGTATAAATAGATGTGGTTTTTTTTTTTGATTTTTCCCCATATAACTTTCATTTTGTCATTTGCTTCAAAGTCGAGACCTTCTTTTATATCAAGATAAAATTGAATATGTTGCTTTCTAAATTTACAAGAAATTCTGGCTCGATTATTCAATCATTTGCCCGTTCTGTGGGTAGTCCTGTCAACATTGCCACACGACGATATCATGAAAAGGTTTGTATATCGGGAGAATTAGTTTCTTTAGCTGTTTTTTATCAAGACGGTAAATATAATGATAATATAAACAACACTTTAGGTTATTGATCATTATGAACGCCCTCGAAATGTTGGTTCACTTCCACGCACAGACCCTGATGTTGGCACAGGACTTGTGGGTGCACCAGCTTGTGGAGATGTCATGAAACTTCAAATACGTGTGGATGATGTCACTGGCAAAATTGTTGACGTTAAATTCAAAACGTTCGGTTGTGGTTCCGCTATCGCCTCGTCAAGCTATATGACTGAACGAGTTCGAGGAATGTCACTTGAGGAAGCGAGTAAAATAAAGAACACAGAAATTGCCAAGGAATTAAGTTTGCCACCTGTTAAACTTCATTGTTCGAGTATGAATTCTTTTATTTAATATACTTATTTCACATTTTGTTTATAATCTTGAACTAAATAATTAATATCCTTGCGTTTTCTTAATTAGTGTTGGCCGAGGATGCTATTAAATCTGCGATTAAAGATTATAAGAAAAAACGAACATCAACAATGCCTGCAGCAGATACATCACAATTTACTCAACAACCTTCCGTATAATGCCACACAAAGTTAATTTTTTGGTTTTCATAAGCCGTGTCAAATTTTGCAAACTTTTAAAAAATTGTTTAAAAAAATTTTATATTTTTAAGTATAAAATTTAAAATTAAAAGCCGGGTTGCCGGGTCTATTTTGTCAAGAAACCAAGAAATTATTTTGTATGGCCTGATAGTTCTTTATTTCAATGTTTATTGTTTGGTAAGAAAACAACAATCATAATTACCACTTGTTACGCTCTACAATACACCATCCATCTCCATTATTTTTAAAAAACTTCTGAAGGATGGATTAACTATTGTATGAATGGCGTATGCAAACACATAGAAGTTATTTTATATATAGCTTTTGTTTGATGGTAAAAATATTTAATCATAGTAAACATTCCTTAGCGTTGGAAAAGCATTATTATTAGGTTAAATTTTTGTATATACTTTCAATGTTTATTATCAAATGTATTACAATTTTTACATAATAAACTTGCAATCTATTTTAGAATGTATCTCAAAAAAACAAAATTTTTAAGCCCTAATCGCTACGTCCACCAACATTTTTCAGGCTCCACTTCAAGGGAGATAATTGCTGAAGGACTTTGATTTGAGGGCGTATAAAAGTGAATAATAATATGGTACCTAACGTTACAGTTGCCACCGAAACAACATAATATCCATCCTGATGAATATTACATTGTCCATTTAACTCGGTGCAAATATTTTTACCATGTTCCGATGCACAATCGACAACTAAAAGATTTCAATTGGTAAATATAGAATTCATCAAGTTTTATGTATTTAAATGACTTAACAACGACATTTACCTTCCCCAAGACTATTTTTGACAGAGCAAGTGGCATCAGTAAATTTATCAACAGCTTCCAGGACAAAAAATCGAGGCCAGGTGCCACCAAAATTGCTAAAGGTAGCCAAAAGCTTTATATGAAAATATAAGATATTTTTATAAGAAAATGGTGGTTAATTCTCAGACGAAGAATTGATACAAATACACTAATACCGTCATGTACGTTCCTCCGATTACTGGATCTGCAATAGTTGTAAAAAAAGCTGAAATACTGACGAATTGTACCGTGCTAATTTTGTTTAATACAATTATCACAATTAATAATGACTTAAACAAAATATAATCAAATTAGAAAATTTGTATACCCAGTAAATGAACTCAGCACAGTAGTAGTAATGATTAGTGCGAAATAACTGGTAGAAACACCATCAACCGGAAATGCGATTACAGCAAGCATGCCAACTACCGCGAAAAGTAAACGTCCATAAAAAGCGTAAAGCCACTAGTTGAAAAGCAACAGATTAATTGGAAGAAAAATTGGCTTTTGATTCAATTTTGAAACTGAGACATACTGGCTTTAGAGGCTCCGGTCCACTGCTCCATTTTGCAGCATAATAACCAAATATTATTTGAAAAGGAAAATCAACCATTACTGATAATGCTAAGTCTTCTTTGCTGAATCCTTTTTCAAGTAGTTTCAAAGCAGTCACCGCTTCATTGGCAATAAATCCAATTTTTGATAAAAGCAGCACTAAAATAAATTTACGCATATCTAAAATTATAATAGCATGACATTAGTTGGTAATTAATTGATTAATTGTCCAGACTGAAAGAAAAATTTACGTGGCATTTTGCAAATATTCCATATCGTTTGATAAGTCGTTTTTATATCCATCTCATCTTCGCGCGATTGCACATTTTCCTATATTCCGAGTATTAGTTATCGGTATTATCAAAAATATGTATCACTAAATTCGAAAATTCTTACTTCTGATTTCCCAAAAATTAAATAAGCAGTTATAGCGAAATACATAAATGACCAAAAATTTAAATAAGTTCTCATAGATAGGATTCCATATTCGGAAGGTACATCCCGAAAATATTTATTACTTTCAAAAGATATTTGGTTAGTTGCTAGAAAAATGTAAATCCTAATAATCAATAAATAAATTAATCTGCTTACCTAAACTCTGCCGAGTTAAAGGCTAAAAAAACAGTAAATGACAAAAAATAGCCGGTATTTAATCCAATTGTCTGTGCTGTTGAAGCATATGAAAGATTATTTTTTGATAGCAAAGTGAGCGCCCAGCCTGTCAAAGAAAAAATCTATTTAGTCTTTATTAAACCATCAAAATCAAAATAGATAGCATCGTAATTACCGTCCACAGCTATATCTAGAAATCAAATATAATCATAGTTTATTAGATGGTAGATTAAGAGATTAAATTGATGAGAAACAAAAAATCTTTTACCTTGCGTCGCCGAAAAAAATATTAATAAGAAAAAAATTAACGTAATAATATATACATTAGGATTTTCCTGTATAATATAAAAATGATGGTTAATAAAGGAAATAAATTGAAGAGGTTCAAAAAAAAATAAACGACTTACGCTCATCAACATATCGTCGATATTATTTCCCAACCAAAAAAATACCGTTCCCATCAATAATTGAATTGGAATGATCCAACTTTTCCTACGTCCAATTTTTTTAGAGAAAGTTGCATCCACTATTGGAGACCATAACAACTTTAAAGAATATGGATAAGTTGCCAGAGAAAATATACCAAGTTCACTGTAAGACACTTTAGATTTGAGGAGAAAAGGAATTGAACCAAATGCTAACCCAACTGGCACCCCTTGGAGAAGATCTATCATGTTTGAGGTATGTTTAAGAATTCAATCAAGTATAATTTCGTTAATCAATTATTAATAGGAGCAAACTTCTGCAGCCAACGCGAAAAATCTTAAGACTCCTCCCTCCTGTATTTCATAGAACGTTTTAGAGAGTTTCATAGAAATCAAAATTTCATTACTTACAGAGAATAACGAGTAATGTTACGTTCCAAGTATCTTTCGTGTTTAACAAGCCTTGAGGCTCTATCTTGATATCATTCTCATAACCCATTTCCTTGAGGCTATCTTCGTCAATTAATTCTTGTTTTGTACTCCCGCGATAACTATCAGAAGAGCCAAACATTGTTTTTGAATTACCACGAGAAGTAAGAACTGAATTCGCTTCTTCTCTTTTACTTGAAATGTTAGCTTGCTTTTGGGAAAGATCGCGTTGCAGCAAGGTTTGATCACTTTTGTGAGGTTCAAACTCGGGAGACTTTGAGGCTGGCATATTCAAATTCAGAATGCCATATAATAAACAACGAACAAACGAATGACCATACAAAAAAGATAATGTTAAAATGGAGGCTGTGTAGAATATAAAATTTCTAGACTTTTCCAATAACATTATCGTTATCCTATCAACGAATCATTTTTGATTGCTCTTTCGAGTACGACTTATATTGGCAATGGAGGACTCTGAAAGTATTTCTTCAGAACCGGACGTGTTTATTCAAGAGATAAACGGTGAGGTGGTTTATATAAATGCTGTTTTTTAAATTGCTGTTAGCAATTAATTTTAATTCTTTTTTTTTTAAACGTTTGACTAGAAACTTTAAGGAGGACACGTCTAAATGACGCCTCTTTGGTTTCGGTTGTAGCGTTTGTAGGCTTTACTCGAAGTGGAACAACACCTAGCATGGCTTCTGTTGCCAATGCGATCTTGGAAAGGAACATTTTTGGCCAGGTACATTTTTTAGATTGAAATTATCATTTATTTCCCTTGAATTCTAAAAATTCATTTCAACGTTTGATTTAGACAGCGTGTTGTGTCGACCAAAAATGTAATTGTACTCAAAAACGGGCTAGTTTATTGATCGGAGATGATAATAATGTAAGTTCATTGAGTGAATTTTTTACATAGATTGGTTATTTTCATCTAATTATTTAAATATTTTAGCACGGCTTGTGGATTTATACGGATCATAAGAAGAATACTATATATTTATTACTTGATTCTATTAATGAATGGGCTTCATTTCTACAAATATGGGAAAAGATAGACGGCTTTATTGAAAATGGGGTGATTATATTTTTTATAAATTGTCATGCTAAAGTACCACTTGTACAAAGCTCATTTTTAAATGTTTTTCCTATAATTATTTACAAAAGAAAGAATTTCAGGATTGGTTATGGAAACGGGAGCATCTGTATATGAGAATGCTGGTGTTTATGTTCATGGTTTCTCATGTTGTAATGGTAAGATCTTTCAATCAATTTTGACTTTCAATTCAATAAAGTAATCTCCGCACCTTTTTCGCATTGAATGACTGATAGCTATCACTCCCAATATCCAAACTTGATTCCAACATGATTTCTTTATTACGTATCGTTTCCTCTGTTAAACGGCACATACTTTCTCACGCCTCTAATTTTATCAATACATGCTGGCAAAATTGGGGAATCCCTTCTCCTTATGGATCGACAAGTGGTGGTGGTTATGGGGGGCGAGGAGGTACTCCACAAGGAGGTACAATGGCCCCGGGAAGATCTGTTCCATTTCTTCTCTTTCTATTTCAAGAAGTGAGTGCGATTTTGCTGATTTATAATTACATACGGTATTTGTTTTATCGTATTTTGTTTGGTCCATACAATTCAGGTTCAGTTACCAGTCGTTACTCATAATGATTCCAATAAATCGGATACTGTCCATGACAAGGTATTGATTGATTCATCTAATTTCTTTATATGATTGGAAAATTTTATTAATTTACTTATTAAATTCAAATAGTCGGCGTCTATTAGCATCAAAAGAATTAAAGATGCATTGCAAGCTCGCGTTCGTTTCCTCTTTCGTACTTGCCATTTAGTACAAACCAATGATTTACATGCGTCTTTTGACGGGTATGTTCATGGAGGATAATATATTTTCCCTCAACAATATTGACCTATATAAAATATGAAGATCTGTATGTATACGGGCCAGATACTCAACATGATGCTTCATGCCTTAGTCGTCAATTGTTCACCCTTCCTCCACCTTCTTCCCAATTCTTTGTTCACCTCATTACTCGCGGATCTACGGGAAACATGCTGTCAACAGATCCCGCTCTTGTCATTCTTTCTGCATCCATAAATTCTGATCGAAACGATACAATTGATATAGAGGGATTATTGAAAAGAAGGCGGCTAGATGCCAGAAGTACTGAGAATTTTGAGATTAAATTGTTGAGGGATTTCGCTATTGGCTGGATTAAATGGGCGGGAACTGGATATCCGAGAAGTTTTGTGAAACGTGGTATTGCATCAAGCGAGGTATGTAAAAATTGGACTATAAAAAATATTACTTTATTTTTTTTTATGGAGTTTACAAAAAATATTTTTCCTTGTGTTTAGTTGCCTGATGCAAGACAATGGGTATCTGGTATTATTGCTCTTAAAAGATTTTTATTTGGACAGCTTCCGAAGGAATTAATAGATCGCAAAGCTTCTAATCTTGTGGAGGATACATTAACAAGACGCTTAAAGGATTGTGTACAAATTAATAACAGATTCTCGGCAAGGTGAATTATTAATTCATCATTAGAGAAGTATTTGCTATAATATTGTATTCTTAGATTATTAATGATTTTTATATAGTCATTGTGCCCAGGTTTTGAGAAAAGCGGTTGATGTATATTTATTAGAATCACCGACTTATTATACCAAGCAATATCATGAAATCAAAGTATGATAATATTTTTTTTGAGTTGTTCATCCCCTATTCAAGCTATTAAAATGTGTTTTTTACTATAGCTAGAACATGCCTTGGGTTTTTATATGTCATCTGCACGTGGTCCATGTGTTCAAGAATATGCACAGAAATTAAGACTCGAATGCCAGAATATATGGGAACATGGAAGACAGAAATGCGAGTATGAAAGTCTTACAGGACATCAATGTGTCTTGGGGGTAAGTTATTTTTACGATTAGATTGTGTAAATTTATCAAAACTTACTTTTTGCTTCTTTTAATAGGCAAATCATGATACTGATTCTAAAACAGATGATGAAGTAAAAAAATTTGTCAAACATAGAAGCGCCTTTCAAACGCTTCATGCATGCAATTGTGGAAGGACTCGACGAGAAAGAGAAGATCCTTTCGATCTTATGGTAAAGTTAGTTGTTGTAATTGACGATGCCGCATCTCTTTAGCTTTTATTAATAATATTATATTTTAGGAGGCAAACGTCATATTTTTTAAATTTGACGATTGTTGTCAAACTGAAGACGATAACTTGTTTCATTTACCTCTTGTTAAAAACAAATCATCCGATAAAAGTATGTGGTCTCTCATTCACCTTGGGTCAAATGCTATTTATGATCCAAAAGTAGGTTTAGACAAATGGGATGGATTTGTAACAAATGCAAATTTCCTTCTACCCTGGAATATCATTGTATCCGAGCACAATCAAGAGGACACTACACAAGTTAAGGATGTAAATGGATTAGGAACAGATGCGGCGGATTTGCATAATATAAATGGTGAAGTTGAAGAAAAAGATATTTCCATTTTGCAAAAAAAAGAAACTTTCAACGTTGACGTGGGCAAGATTACAATTAATGATTCAACAGATTGGCCTTTGTTAACTAGTGAAAGTAAGTTGAGCCTATTTAATAACTGACGGATTACGTTTTCGATATTGTTATTTATTGTTACATTAAATAATAGGTACTGCACAATCCTGGATGGCACAGTCGGAATTTAACGATGACATTTTGCATTCGAATGAAAATGTTCAACAGATATCTCGTGATGCTAATAATTTTCAGTCGTCTTCAAGAGATTCAAAAAATGGCGATTACTTAAAAGATAAGCGAAGCAGGCGAAACACAAGAACCGCACAAAAAAAGGAACGCGAAAAAACGTCTGCAAGCACATTACTCAATAATCAAAATTTTAGTCGAGGTTACGTTGGTGTTGAATACGAATGTCCTAATGGACATAGATTTATGAGTTGTGGAGATGGACAAGTTTGCAAACGTGGGCATATCAATCATACTCAGGTAATATAATCGTATGCCTTTTATTATCTACCCGATTTTTTTAATAGATTCAAAATGTTGTTTTAATAGGAATCCGCAAAAGATCTTTTAGACAAAGATTTACCAATCTTTATTTTATGCCCTTGTAATAACACTTTGAATGGACCACCCACTATTACGGCACAACTACAAAGAATCATAATTATAACCCCAGATTCACATTTATCAGTGATTCTGAACCCTTCGATCAAGGTTGTCAAATTGCAAAAATTTGCTATTGAAATTTTCAACTTGTAAATTTTCTAATTCTTATTATTGAATTCCAATCTAACTAGGATTCTAATAATCAAGATGTTGAAGTGTCCCCAATTGTGAATCTTGATGACAAACAGCAAACACAAATCAATGAGATTATTTTACCCAGTAACAGCATGACAGTTTTGCGTTTACCGTATCCTTTTTTTAATAATCAATCAACCAGTTTTATTGTCGCTGAAAAAAGTATAATGACGTCTTTACAAAAGATAAGTAGTGGCTCGGTGCATGTAATAATCCTTTTTATTCTTGACATAACTCAATTTCCAGATATATTCATTATGATCAACAAATTCAGCCCATTAAAGTTGACAAAGATATTACGAAACGTCTATCTTCGCTTTATTTGGCCAAAAACTTTATAATCGCAGATAAGCGTTCCTCCTTGCCTTTTAAAGAGGAAGAAGCGTCTAGCATTACGTAAGACAAAAAATTATGATATTACCCACACCTCACACATATCTCGCGGAATCGTTAACGCGCGTAACAGGAGAAAAAGGACTCAAAGGCGGCAAAAAATCGAAAGATTGTGAGGGATACTTTTTTTTATCTTCACTTGGATGATATATCGCCAGTTAACTTATCACCCATGATATAGTCTTTTATTACTCTATTATTTTTCTCTTTGGGCCCACGCTTTTCCGTTGTCCACCGCGTGATAGTACGGTCTCCATTTTTTTTTCATTTATCCGGAATATAATACATACATACACTATTTTGTATAGTTGCTTATATAGAACACAGGGAAATAGGGGATCAGATTACCCAAAACTGGTATTGAACAGGAATTTAGAATAAGGAAAACTTTCACACAATTCTTGTTCTACAATATCACAAACCAAACAGTAAAATTTTAAAAAAAAATTGAGGTGGCAGTGCAACGCCAAATAGTTTCACCAATTGTTTCGCCATCTTGCATGCATATAATTAATAGTAAACATAATTGTGTAAAATCCTTAACTTTAATAGATAGACCATTGACAATTGTTGGGGTTTACCGGCGTTCCGACATCCGAGGGTCTAAATCTAAAAATTTTTTTGCAACAGTAGATAATGTAGAAAGTAAAAGCTATTATTTAACTATCCCCCATTCTACATTCCGAAATGAAGAAAGTCATAGTATAGTTAATTTAATTGGTCCTATCCATGTTCGAAATTTCGAACGTCTTTTGGACAATCTAGCACACTTATCCCCCAATTTTATCCGCCCCAAAATTATGAGAAATTCTTTATATGAGACAGCCTTGGAAAATGGTTTTTTTTCACACCTTTCACCCTCTCTTTAATCGTTTGTGTGTTTTACATTGTTCGTATTAGACGGTGTCCTTTTGTTTAATTAAGGTCGCCGGTCTCTCTTTCTCTTTGTTCTTGGTCTCTATTTATTTATCTAAACGTAACGTAACGATCGACCGGACTTTAAAGCTCTTTGAATAATTTTTGAATACAATCATGTCCGTCAAACTTTTCGTCGGAGGTTTGTCATGGGGAACTGATGACCGTTCTCTTCGCAACAAGTTTGAAGAATATGGTCAAGTAGAAGATGCTGTTGTAATTCGTGACCGTGACACTGGTAATTAATTACTGTTTCTTTGCCGCGTCTTAAGTCACCTGTATGCATGATTGAATTGATGTTTGGTGCGGGAGTAATTCTCGTGTAAATTATCAATTTAATTGTCATAAAGCGTGTTCTTAGAAATTCTTTGAAGTGTTTCTAAAGGTAATCCTTACTCAATTCAGGTCGTAGTCGTGGATTTGGTTTCGTTACCTACTCTAAGTAAATATATTGATTGCTATTAGAGAATGATTTTATTATTATTCGTCATTTATTAATTCATTTGTTATTGATTCTAAATAATTAGTAACGATGAAGCTGAAACTGCTATTTCCAACTTGAACGATGCAGAATTTGATGGTCGTACCATCAAAGGCAAGTATTGTTTAACATCATATCTGTAAATCACAATTTTTATCTTTATTGATCTAATCGTATTAATTTTAATTATATCCCTAATAGTTGATCGTGCTTCTGAACGTGAACGTTCATCTCCTGCCCCTCGCTCTGGTGGTGGCGGTTACGGTGGTGGTGGCGGCTATGGCGGCGGTGGTGGCTATGGCGGCGGCGGCCGTGGAGGACGTGGTAGTCGTGGACGCGGTGGTGGTGGTGGTGGTTACGGTGGCGGCGGCGGCGGCTATAACCGTTACTAAGCTACAACAACCCGGTTCTCCCTTTTTATAAACCTCAATCGCTACGTTACATATAATTGTTTCTATCGAATTATTATGGCGGCGGTATGAATTATCCACTTCTCTTTTTATTTTCCCTTCAATCAATATCTATTATTCTTCCCCTTTCCCAAGTTTTTATTCAACAAAATATAAAGAGTGTCCGTCTGATCACTTTTCCTAGTACTTTTAAATTCTTTTTTCTCATTAGTCCACGGAAAAATCAAAGAGATCGAATTTTTATGTGTGTTTGTAATCCGCATTCTGGCGGAGACATTCACTTTGTGTGCGTTCTTTTAATAATAGTTCTTTTTCACGACGTGTCTCATTTTATCGGTTATTCTTTTGATAAGAATATCACCGAATGCACAAAATGTTTCTTGACTTGTTATTGTTATTTGTCTCTTGTTACTCAGTCTAGGTTCACATTTTTTCTTATAGCAACTGTATATTGTTCACTTTTGTACATAATTAGACGGAAACTTAAATAAAAAGTTGCTCTCATATTTTTTTGGTTACAAAAATTCATTTATTTATCTTGCTTGATGTTTGATACATGATCATAAGTATATTTAGATGCAATAATGTTGATAATGGGAATATCGATTGAATATTATAATTTATAATTCAAAGACTACTATAAATACACTCTAATAAATTAAATTAAATTAAATTAAATTACAGAAATAAAAAATGCTATCCAGTATACTCTTCAACATATGCGGCGGGAAATTGTCCTATCTGGTTATCAATCATTCCTAATCAATAATTAGTAAAATTATTAAACATTAAATATAACTGCATGAATAAATTAATCCAGACGTCCTTTGTATCAATTAATTACCTTCCCACCAACCATCACCAATATTGCGATTAGTAACTAGAATTATTTCATTTTCATGTATAGTCAACTCTTCAGCCGTTTGCGCATCGTAGTTATAAAGTACTCGAACTAAATATAAGTTATTAGCAGCTGTGTGACGATATAAATAAAAAGTTTATTTGAAAGTTACCATAATCTCCCGATTTATGGTTTTCAATTTCAATATATGAAGCTGGAACTAATCCTGAATTCTCATCGATTAAAACCTATTATGATATAATATTTAATTTACTTAATAAGTCAATTAATCTTATTATTTAATACTGGACATACCTGGACCCAGCCTGAACCATCTTTCATTTGATAAAATATAAAATGTTCACATTAATCCATAAATAATGAGCAAGACTCTTCAAAGGAAATTCATACCGTCTGGTTCCAGAACCAACATTGTATCGCCAGCTCTCATGCTTAATTCAGATGGACCACCAGCTTCATAATCATATAAAGCGGTAGCTCTTTGATAATCTTCTTGATCTACCTCAGTAGATGATTGATTTGAGGTTGGAGTTGATGTTCCTGCTAGAGACATATAATTGGGCACACCTAACAGTTGACATAAAAATGTTATTCAAGATAATCGAGATTTTTGGTTAATTGAAATTTTTATTTTCATAGTCTTGCAGAACCGGCCTTACTCTATTATTTCAGACCGAGAGTATAAAAGAAACAATGCAGAAAGACTTGTTGCTTACTCGACAAAGTGCCCCAGGGTGAGGTAGGATTAGAAAAGGCAATACTTGTAACAAGTCCACGATTAATAATTCCCTTTTTACGCGTACAATTAGGAGGAACCTTCATCTCACATTTAGCATGGCAATTATATCCACATTCTAAAAGTAATAATGTATTATTATTGATATTATTATTTATTATTATTAGTGATGTTCAGAGAGAGAATAATAAAAGAACATTACCTTTGCACATAAGACCTTGTTTTGCAATACCCCAAATGGAAGTTTGGCATAGATCACAGTTAGTTGGAATAGTAAAAGCAGCATTTTTAAATTCATGAGGTTGCTGTTCGGGTGAAATATCTTTAATTGGAATGTGACAATTTGTTAGTACTTGGAAATTAAAATTAATAAAAATTGTAAATTATCAGCATACCCCCAATCACAGTTATAATTGAATTCACTTCTGTTTGGTAATAAGTTTTCATTGTTTCCAAACTTGTGACTTTACGAAGAGTTTCTAATAAATTCTTTGAAATCATGTATCATAAATTTATTTTCCGGTTGAAGCTATAAATAAAACCAAAATTTTTATTCACCTCATTAACAACATCAGCATCTCCAAGACTGGGATTCTTCGAATAGGCATTGACAAGATTTTCCATGCCACTTATATCTTTTTTCTTTGCCTCAATTTCTGAACTAAGATCAGATAACTTCTGTTTGGCCTTCACTAATTTATTACTCAGGTAAACTTGGGCATTCTCGTCGTTAGCTAATTCTTCCTATGAAACAATTCCTATTGGTGAATATCAATTTTATATGTAAAAAAAAATAGACTTTCTTACATTGTCTTCCCAGGCTTGAGAAGGTTCAAATAAAAAATCCGGTGGTTCATTCCATTCTTTTTTATTATATTTAATGAAAAGCTGAGAATCAGCTTCGGCGTCAACTTTTTGTAGGGCTTCAAGGATAACATTGTAATGAATTTCTGTTTTTGATAATACTGTTAATTCTTGTTCAATATAGTCCTTCCAT